CAAACATTATATTTACCCAATTGTCTTTCTAGTGGAGTATGTGGTTTATTCTGGTAACTACATCCGATAACCATTTTCTGCAAAGTCAGGGTGCAGGAGAATTGGCAGGACAATAGCACACGAAGGATCCCATCTGATGAGTTACCTGACGCACAAATGTTTCCACTTCCAAAAGGCCGTTCTTAAATCTGTCAAGTGCAGGTGATAGTACACATACAATCTCGAATGACCCTCGTGATTGCAGGCAGTACAGACTGGCTTTTGCTCTGCTATACTGTCATTCAGGAAGTTCAGAATTTGAGAATTAGGCAGAGAAGCTTCTATACAGGTTTTATGCTAGACAATAAAATGGTAGGAAAGAAAGCAGGGATTAGGAGCAAAGAGAGACGGGGTTTTTTATTTTTCTGGGTGCTTTTCAGCACTAGATTGGTTGTTTTGGCTACATATATCTCTAAACGTCACCTCCGGCTTCTGTCCTATTTCAGATCAAAAGGGAGAAGGAAAGGGTGATTCCTGAGGCACACAGGGTTATACCAAAAAAGTGTAAGATTTCCACATACATAGGGAGGAAATCAATCCACTCTGCTCCTCCTGCTTACTCTAAGCTACCAAAGCCCTGCATCACAGCTCTGCCCACTTACTTCAGCCAGGACCAGAGGTGCTGATGACTGATATAGTCAGTAAATTTATACGGACACAAACTGACAGGCCCTCTCTGTTACTTTTGGTGGGAGAAAATAGTTTACTTTTTAAGACTTAATGATTTTTTATCATTTCTTCTCTGTTCAGCAGCAAGGCCCTGATAGGTCTGAAAACATGATACATCATACATGTTTATAAGCTATAACTGAGAGTCAGAACCACCAGGTAGATATTAATCATATTTCTTAAGTCTACCTCGTTGTTTCCCTTAGAGCCAAAGCTGCTTATTCAGTCAATTATCTCATAATCTGTTTCTATTCATGTAGGCTTTATTTAGTCTAAAGTCAAGTCAGAAAATATATACAGCAGTGTGTACATTAACATTATATGAAGAATTTGGTTTATCCACATGGGCAGATGCCAGGGAATTCAAATTGCTCTCAGAAAGGAAAAGAAAGGAAAGAAGGAAGGGAAAAGATGAAAGAATTGGAGTCAGAGTGAAACCTGCCATTTTCTCACCCCATCCCATTCATTCTGCCTCAGCACTCGGTCACATCAAGGAATCTTTTCTCCAGAGATCTTTGATGAATCGACAGTCATGGACCGCATGATCATGTTTTGGTCAATGACAGACACCACATATGACAGTGGTCCCATAAGATTAAAATACTGTTTTTATTGTACTTTTTCTATGTTTAGATATACAGATACTTACCATTGTGTTACAGTTGCTTACAGTATTCAGTACAGTTACATGCTGAACAGGCTTGCAGCCTAGGAGCCATAGACTACACACCTATGGTGCATAGTCAGCTATACCATGAAGGTTTGTGTAAGTGCACTCTGTGATGTTCGCGCAAGGACTGAATTGCCTAACAGTGCACCTCTTAGAACATATCTTCATCATGAAACGACACGTGACTCTACTTACAGTGGAGCCTGAAGAGATGTAAAGGCTCTGATTTCCTGGGTCTCCTGTATTTAATGAGTTACGTTATTGGGATTTTCTCTAGCCGTAATCAAGAAAGATGCTGGGAGAAAAAGTAGGGAAGTAGGAGCAGAAACTTGGAGTCAGACAGCCTCTGCCTGTTTTGTTTCTTTTTTTGGTATAATTGAAAAGTTACTTATACACTGCATTTCTGTTTCCTCATCTGTTAAAAAAACAAACTAACTAACCCTGGGGATTTGTGAGACTTGAATAACGTAATATACTACTAATCTAAGGCCCCTAGCACAGTGCCTGGCACATGGTAAATGTTCAAAGAGCTGTTAGATGAAAAAAGGATTTTTCCTAAACATCTAATCATCAAAATCAAGACAAAACATAAAATCCCCACTTGATTAGCACAGAATCATGAACTCTATTTCTGGAAGGGACTGCTATACACAACCTAGTCTGGCATTTCACAACTTTTTTTTAAGCTAGGATCCTTTGACAGAATATGAAGAAACAGATGTATTAAAGAAATAATGGCAGGTTGGGTATGGTGGCTCCATGTCTGTAACCCTAGAACTTTGGGAGGACGAGATGGGATGATTGATTGAGGCCAGGAGTTCAAGACCAGCCTGGTCAACAGAGTGAGACCCCATCTTTAAAAATAATAATAATAATAATAATGGCAGAGCTGGAGGAGTGGGCAAAGCTCCCCCTTGATTTCCTCCTATCTCGACTCCCTTGGAAGATCTGGCAGCATCTGATGCCTTCCACATTTTGAAAATGAAAATCTGGTCCAGTGCCACCATTTCACCAATAGGTGAATGGCCCAGAAACGTGAAGTTGTATTTTCAGTATTATGGCCACATTGCAGCCTGAATTTATCTTCACCTACAGCATCATGAGAAAGAATAACCAAGACTGTAGCATGTGGGACTACATGGCAGAACACTACAGAGAAGCTTTAAAAGACCTAGAGCTTTAGTTCATCCTGTGTGAACCTTTTTTCCCCTATAGATGGTAGATGGTAGATGATAATCTTTTGGGTGGCCCATTTCCATTTTCATGTTTATTTTTCAACTGTTTCTGGTGTCACTTAAAACATTTCCTGTGAGATTCTGGTACCTTCTAACAGCCTTGAGGACAATTAGCAGCTGCATAGATTTCCATAAAACAGCTTCACCCCCTCCTGTACCCTCTACCTTTGCCTCCTGTGGTCCTATCTGATGCTAAATAAAATGCTACAATTTCTAAATGTTTTTACATTCAGGGCATTTTCCATCAACCTCTTCACTAGAGTGTCCTCTCAGGCATGTTACTGCAGTACAGAAATGTAAACCACAAAGCTGACTCAATGAAAGCCTGAAGCCAATATATTTTCTTTTTGAGATAAGGCTGTGTTTCTACAAACAACCTCCAACTTTATTTGGAAAAGAAAGGAGATATAATACAGTTTATGACTGCTGGGCTGTTTCCAAATGTGGCTAATTTCCTGTTAGGTTATTCATGTGTCCTTATGTTCTTGTGGAAAGCATAAGGTCTTTTAATTGACTTTTGGAAAAGAGGAAAGTTGACTTGGGGCTGAGGGAAAAGGCGGGATTCATTTTTTTTTTTTTTTTTTTTTGAGACAGAGTCTCATTCTGTTGCTCAGGCTGAAGTGCAGTGGCCCGATCTCTGCTCACTGCAACCTCCGCCTCCCAGGCTCGAGTAATTCTTCTGCCTCAGCCTCCCAAGTAACTGGGACTACAGGTGCATGCTAATTTTTGTATTTTTAGTAGAGACAGGGTTTCGCCATATTGGCCAGGCTGGTCTTGAACTCTAGACCTCAGGTGACCCACCTGCCTTGGCCTCCTCAAATGCTGGGATTACAGGTGTGAGCCACCGCACCAGGCTGATGCAGGATTCTTTATCACCATGAAAGTTGCCCCAGAGCCCTAGTTTGCACTGATGATCTGGGATCCTACTTGTGTGCATGTCCATGTCCCCTCTGGACTGGGGACTCCCTGAAAGCAGAAGCGTATCCTTTACATCTCTCTCAAAGGTCTGCATATCCAACTCATGACCTAGCTCAGAGTTGATGCTCGAAAACTATTGACTGTTTACCCAAGAGACTTTCTAGATGCAAAGCAAGCATGTTGAACTCCTATCTATGTTAAAGGAAAATACATATTGTGATAGTATTCTACTGTTTAAAAGAAATATCTAGGCTGGATGTGGTGGCTCATACCTGTAATCCCAGAACTTTGGGAGACCAAGGCAGGTGGATTGCTTGAGGCCAGGAGTTCGAGACCAGCCTGGCCAACATGGTGAAACCCCGTCTCTACTAAAAATACAAAAATTAGCTGGGCATGGTGGTGCGTGCTTGTAATCCCAGCTACTCGGGTGGCTGAGGCAGGAGAATTGATTGAACCCGGGAGATGGAAGTTGCATTGAGTGGAGATTGTGCCACTGCACTCCACTTCAAACAGAAATAGAAAACAAAAGAAATATCGAATGGAATAAAAGAGTTCTATTAGAACAAAGCCAAAAGGCCCTTTATAGGAGCTCTAGTTTTCAGTTTCTTGGCCGACAGAACTAGACTAGAGACAGTGAATTCAGCAACAAATACATGTAAGAATTATTGAGCACTTAATATGTGGTAGGTGCCAATCTAAGAGCTTTATGTATCATATCTCATTTCATCCTCACAAGAGTTCTATGAAATATGCTGTGATTATTCCCATTTTACAGATGTGAAAACAGAGTCTGAAATCATTGCCCCATAGTGGTGGGATTTGAACCCAGGCAGTGTGTCCAGAGCCCACTTAGCCACTAATGACCAACTGAGTGAAATGCTTACAGGAGACAACATTTATCATAGTGAAAATACAGAAGGCTCAATGGCACTATTTCCTCTCAGACGACTTAGTTGGAAGAACTGATCTCCTGCATCTTCTGAGTTTGGGAGAAAGATGGGGAAGAAAGATAAGAGAAAGCCATCACAGCGTTAACTGTTTTTTCTTTTTCCTTGTCCTGATCTGTTGAGAATTTTGTAAATCACTGGACTATTTAATTTTCTTCACAAATTACATTTTTTAGAGCATATTACTTTTGAGTTACTTTAATCACAGTTTTACGTTTTTTAACTACAAATTACATTTTTTAGGGCATGTTGCTTTTGAGTTACTTTATTTCCCGGATATTACCCAAATGATTCTTACCACACCAGTGTGAGGATGTTAAAGGTGAACAGCATTCCCACTGGCATGCGTGGAAAAATGGAGGCACAAGGAGGCCATGGGGCATGCCCAAGGTCCTGTCAATCACTCCAGAGTAGACACTCAACCGTTGCCTTCTGAATCGTAGTTCAGTTTCCCATATCTACCATAAGCATAAACCTTTCATGTGCTGGGAAGCAAAGGTGAGCCCTCTTGTTCTCTTTCAGGTGTGTGGATGGCTCCTAGATCTTGACTTGCTCCCAAGGAAATATTGTGTGACTGAGTTTCCTGTCATACTGCTCCCCAGTTGACCATGAACCAGCCAGAGCCTGCCAGTGACCCTGAACCCCTGTGTGCAGTATGTGGCCAAGCCCACTCCCTGGAGGAAAACCACTTCTATAGCTACCCGGAGGATGTGGATGATGACCTCGTCTGCCACATCTGCCTGCAGGCTTTGCTGGACCCCTTGGACACTCCATGTGGACACACCTACTGCACCCTCTGCCTCACCAACTTCCTGGTGGAGAAGGACTTCTGCCCCATGGACCGCAAGCCTCTGGTTCTGCAGCACTGCAAGAAGTCCAGCATCCTGGTCAACAAGCTCCTCAACAAGCTGCTGGTGACCTGCCCGTTCAGGGAGCACTGCACCCAAGTGCTGCAACGCTGCGACCTTGAGCACCACTTTCAAACCAGGTAGGGCCCCCTCAGCAAGCCAGGAAGCCCTGCCCCAAGGGGACAACTGGACTCCCTGTCTCCTGAGGGCTGCGTGGCCTCCAGCGTCCTGGGGCTCCATGGAATGCTCGTTTCTCTTTTTTGTTACAACCAATGAAATGATCCATTCAAAATAAAAAAAAACAGCAAGGTATTTATAGTCATGGTTCAGTGTGAGGAAACAGCATTTGGTAGAGTTACGTTATATGTGTGTATTTATGGATTTTTAAAAATTGTAGTAAAATGTAATATGAAATTTACCATTTTTAATCACAATGAGTGTACAGTGCCATGGTAGTAAGTACTGTCCCATATTGTGCCACCATCACCACCATCCATCTCTAGAAATTTTTCATCTTCCATAATGGAAACTCCACATCCATTAAACATGAACTCCCCATTCCACCTTCCCCCAGTCCCTGGCAACCACCATTCCACTTTTTGTCTCCATGAATATGACTGCTCTAAGTGCTTCATGTAAATGACATCATATAGTATTTGTCCTTTTGTGACCGGCTCATCTCGTGTGTCTGTGTGTGTGTGTGTGTGTGTGTGTGTGTGTGTGTGTGTGTGTTGAAATGTGAAATATACCGGAGAAGGTGTATGAGCAGCTTTCTCTGAGGTTCAAGGGCCCCAAAAGGATTTCCTGATGGATTTTTTTGTTCTTAAGTGAAAAAGCACTGCTTGCTTTTTCACTTAAGAACAAGAAAAAAAAAGATGTCCCGGTTTGACCCTTGATTATTAGAATTTCCTCTGTATTGGAATTGACAAGGCACAACTGTCCTTCGAGGAGGTGTGAGGTGTTCTCAATTAAGTTTTAAAATGAGAAATTTAGGAAATTTTTGTCCTTCAAAATGTGCTGTGCTAACTTTGTGGACAAGTCACTGAGTTGCGCATGCACACACACGCCCACACACCCACACCGGTGGCAGGATTCTGGTGTGACTGCCACTGCTGGTGGCTGACATCACCTGTCCCATCTGGCTGCCTCTTATTTTGTCCACTTACATTGTCATGTTGCTGGGCATTGAGAACATTTAAGGTGCTTAATAAAGGGTGAACAGTCATGCACAATTATTTTGTAAGAGGAAATTTGGAAGCTGGTGTTTATCTTGGTTCCTGTCATGAAAAGGACAAGAAGCAAGTGGAGGTATTTTTTTTTAAAGTTCACATACCTTAGGTCATGAATCTGAGTCTTTGTCTTTTGGGACACTCATGGATTCTCTGACATGGAAGTTTGCATCAAAAGCAATGGCCTGGGTGTAATGCTTAGCACGTGTTTTCCATGCTCATTATGTCAGTGAATTCATTTTTCTCTCCAAGATGTTGAGCCAGATGCTTTCAACTCGGGTTTTGGGGTTGTAGCTGTTATTGCTAGTGTTTAAACTAGGATGCGGTCCCTCCCCCATATCCCAGAAGTAGATGTGGTTAAAGGAGGAGCGGGTAAGGGGTCTATTTGTGACCTTTGCTGCAAGTTTTGTGCAGGTGTGAGAGGCGTTGGTGGGAAAGAAGTAGGTCTGGAGTCAAAGGTGAGGTCGATGCCAACAGGGGTTGGCACGGAGCCAGGTTCAAGAGTGGGGGTCACACTAGGCAGGGGGATGAAGAGAATGAGGAGGAGAAAGAGCCCAGTAGAGCTCCCTTCATACTCACCACAGGCCTGTGTTCCTGATGTGTTGCAATTATACATTGATGCTGGGGAGCTATGTTCATTTCCTGTTGCTGCTTTAACAAATGATCACAAACTTAGTAACTTAAAACAATCCAAATTGCTGGGTGCAGTGGCTCACACCTGTAATCCCAGCACTTCGAGAGGCTGAGGCAGGAGGATCACTTGAGCCCAGAAGCTTGAGACTAGCCTGGACAACATAGCGAGACCCCATCTCTACAAAAAATTTAAAAATTAGCCAGATCTGGTGATGTTTGCCTGCTATCTTAGCTATTCAAGGGGCTAAGGTGGGAGGATTGCTTGAGCCTGGGGGTCAAGGCTGAAGTGAGCTGTGATGCACCACTCCACTTCAGCCTAAGTGACAAAGCAAGACTGTCTCAAAGAAAGAAAAAAAAAAACAAAACAAATTTGTTATCACACAGTTCAGAGGGTCAGAAGTTGAACACACCTGTCGGTGGGCTAACATCAAGGTGTCAGCAGGGCAGCATTCTTGTTGGCTCCAGGGGAGAATCCCTTTCCTTGCCTCTTCCAGCTTCTAGTGCTGCCTGCATTCCTTGGCTCATGGCCCCCTCTTGCATGTTCAGAGCCAGCCACATAGTATCTTCCAGGCTCTCTCTGGCCTCTGCTTCCATCCTCACATCTTCTGTGACTCTGACCCTCCTGCCTCCCTCCTATAAGGACTCATGTGATTACCTTGGGCCCACCTGGATAATCCAAGGTGACGCCTTCATCTCAAGATTCTTAATTTAGGTGGGGCATGGAGGCTGACACCTATAATCCCAGCACTTTGGGAGGCTGGGGCAGACAGATCACTTGAGGTCAGGAGTTTGGGATCAGTTCGGCTAATGTGTGAAACCAGTTTTTATTAAAAATGTAAAAATTAGCTGGGCGTGGTGATGCGTAATCCCAGCTACTCGAGAGGCTGAGGCATGAGAATCACTTGAACCTGGGAGGCAGAGGCTGCAGTGAGTCAAGATTGTACTACTGTACTCCAGCCTGAGCAAAAGAGCAAGACTCTATCTCAAAAAAAAAAAAAAAAAAAAAGATTCTTAATTACATCTGCAAAGTCACTTTTGTCATATCAAGTGCCATATTCAGAGGTTCTGAGGATGAGGAGCTGGACACCTTTGGGGTAATCATTCTGCTCACCCCAAGAGTCAGAGTGGGGAGACAGAAGACAGCAGTGGAAGCATTCCCTGGGGAGCAAGTGAAAACCAGCCACTCCGCCTCATCCAAGACGGCTTTGGGCCTGAGAGTGTTTCTAAAAACAGGGAGAAGATGGTGTGTGGATCTGAGGGTGAGGCCAGAAGGGAGGTGGGGAAGGGGAGGGGGAAGGGCTAGGAGGACACTGCTGGGAATCTGTGAGGTCTTCAGGAGAAACATGACACGCTGCTCCTCAGCTGCCTGAAGCAGACTGGGCATTTCATTTACCCTCAACCCCTGCAGCCTGTGTGACCCACATATACCTCAAGGAAGCCCGAGATGGGGCTTGATGAACCCTCAGCTGATGAGATGCACACTTGGAAAAAGGCAGGGAAGAGAGAACTCAAAACTAACTAAAACTGAGTCACCTTTTTAAGCTGCAGCCTCTGAGTGAGTCCTTCACATGCGCCCACAGCAGCTCTCTAGAGAGGACGCCCCCACATCATGGAGGCATGGGCCTCAACACATGCTCTCAAGCCTCCACACTTCTGCTTCCTAAGTAGGTTGAATCCAACATTTCCAAAAATACATTCTTTCTACGTATTAGTCATCATATGCCTAATATACACTCCATCGCCTCCCGCCCCCTGGACGTTTTATTGGCAAGGATTAAGAGTTTGAAACTAACCTAGAACCTGACTGTAGATCTCTCTGGGCTTTGGGCCTGTGATGGGCCAGTAGGTCCCCTCTCCCTCCTCTTAGGAGGGATATTAAGAAGAACTTAAGAAGTAGTCAATACCTCTGGAGGCCCTTGAATTTAGAAAACTAAGAGGTTGCCAGGAGGCAAGTGTTTCTTTATCTGTGAGGCCTCTGTGCTGGTGGCTGCTTGTATGGAAGTGTTGTCATAGCTTTTGTTTATAAATTTTGCATTGGTTGGGCTGGCAAGGTGGCTCACACCTGTAATCTCAGCACTTTGGGAAGCTGAGGGGCAGATCACCTGAGGTTGGGAGTTTGAGACTTGCCTGACCAACATGGAGAAACCCCCGTCTCTTCTAAAAAAGTACAAAATTAGCTGGATGTGGTGGCACATGCCTGTAACCCCAGCTACTTGGGAGGCTGAGGCAGGAGAATAGCTTGAACCGGGAGGTGGAGGTTGCAGTGAGCCAAAATCACACCATTGCACTCCAGCCTGGGCAGCAAAAGTGAAACTCCGTCTCAAAATAAATAAATAAATAAATAAAATTTTGTATTGGTTTGCTTGATCTTTCACATCACTTTATTCAATACACATGCATCTAAGTAAAATTGTTTTAAATTTTTTAATTTAATTGACATACATATTGTATACATGATGTACAACACAATGTTTTAAAATAAGTATATATTATGAAATAGCTAAAGCAAGCCAGTTGACCTGCATTACCTCATATACGTACCATTTTTTTGTGATGAAAACACTTAAAATCTATGTGTTTAGTAATTTTCAAGTATACAATACATTAACTATAATCACCTTGCACAGTAATCTCCTGAGTTTATACCTCCTGTTTAACTGAAACTTCTGCATCTGTTGCCCAACAGGAGACTGAAGTCAGGACACAGGCAGACAGCATCACATCTTTAAACAAATGCTGCCTGTTTTCTCCAGAATTCGTTTTATTTGTAAACAATATTTGTCTAACTACTAAATATAAATACTTGAGTAAAACATTCCGGACCTGCTGTGCATGCACGACTGGCTAAATCATTGATTCCTTGGACAACTGTTTCTGCTTTCAGACTAGAGGGCTCTTGGTTGGAATCTTCTGGCTAATTCTGTTGACTGCCCTCTTAAATGCTTATAGTCTCCCATCACTTGGGTCTACCGTAGAGAACTCCCAGGGGCGTGATGGACCTACTGAGTTGAATGGCAGCCTTCCTAACTGAAAGCCATGACCAGTATGTAGTGGGGCCCCTGCAGAGGACCCATCTGGTCCTCTCGACCCAGACTATCAATGAGAGTGTGTGTGGATGCCAAGGTTTTACTTCTTGATCCTGAGCGAGACTTACTTTAGGATCAAGACCACCTCTTCTTTGTGTAATCTCAGCATCTGCATACACAGCATTTAGCAAGGATTTACAATAGGTCAGGCCCTGAATGAAAGAAAAATAACTTGTGATTGCTGCCTCTAAG